AAAAAATTTGAAATATAAAATTTTCGTATTTTATTAAAAATCTATATTTTGTATCTTTTGTAAAACTATTGTAATTATATATATTTTTATTAAATAAAAATAATACAGTTTGTATATATATACAAATGTTTTATTTTAGGTTTTGAGCAAATTTTGTTTATAAAATTATTTATATAAAGTTTTTTTACTAGCACATAACTTTTAATAAAATTATTTTTTATAAAAGTAATTATATAAAAATAATTTTTTTTAAGTTTTTATCTTGTAACGATGTATATATATAGTTAATTATGGTGATTTTGTGAATTTTTTTGTGTGTTCTTATTGTTTTTTTTTCACATTTTGCACACATAAATTTGTTTCAACATATATAATTGTATTTTTCTTATTGCCAATAAAAAAAGAGAGCAAAACAAGACAAAAAATAAAGTACGAGAGTAGTTCAGATCGCTTTATCGTAGAAAGGTTTATCGACATAAAACGCAGACACGAGTCGCAAATCTCATGAAATTGACTAATCACGTTAGTCAAATGAGCCAATTCCGTGAGATCTTCGAATTATGATCTGCGTCTACATCTAAATGTAGATAGGCCTTAAGGCCATTACACATCAAATTACTTAAGACCATAAGACGTGGCCGTAAGAAAATCGATCAGAATATATAATCAGAATGTATATCGCCATTACTTTCGGACGTAAATTTCTGATTGATCAAGGCATCACACATAAACTTACTTTAGTAAAGCTTGTTCTACAGTGATCGCAAGCGCAAACGCAAGGACCAGATCTGGTAGAAGTGACTAATTGTATTGATCAAATCAGCCAATTGACCAGCGTGATTGGTCAATTCTACGAGATCTATATCTTGTGTTTGCGCTTGCAATCAATGTAGAACGGGCTTAAGACGTAGTCGTAAGAAAATTGTTCAATCAGAATGTATATTATGTCGCCATCACTTTTGAACGTAAATTTCTGATTGGTCAATTTTCTTACGGCTACGTTTTACGATCTTAAGTAATTTTAAGAGCCGTCTACAATGGAGAGTTGTAGGCCGTAATAGTAAGAAATTGACCAATCACAGACAAAGTACAGAAGAATAATCGATTGTGATTTGTCAATTTCTTACTGTTACGGCCTACAACTTTCCATTGTAGACGGCTCTTTATATGTGATGGCCTTCAATTTCCTTACGGCCACGTCTTACGGTCTTAAGCATATATGTAATACTCCTATATTGCTAGTACGGTGCTGACCTGAAGCTCACCGTTACGGTCCAGACAATATAGTAGCCTCTCTCTCCAGCTGCTTTGTGCGCATGCGGTGAACATTCAAGCACGCTTGCGCATTTCTCTTTCTCGCGTTCTTTCTCTCACTTTCCAATGTTTTGTCTCGCTCGCACTCACTTGGTAGATGCGCCTGCGCATAATGACGCTCGACCATCTATGCCCATATTTGGACTACGTGCGTCTCTTTTTCTCGGGCCTCGTGGCTGTGTTCAGTTAAGCAAGATGGAACGAACTAATGCAGGAAATGCAGGAAATACAGTAATTCATTAGTTTCAATTCCTGTATTTCCTGCATTTCCTGCATTAGTTCGTTCCATCTTGCTTAACTGAACACAGCCCGTGCCTCTCATTGCGAAGATACGCGACTAGCAATATAGGAGTATTACATATATGGTCTTAAGTAATTTTATGTGTGATGGCCTTTAAACTAGCCAACTTCACGCATGCGCGTTATTGCTGGCTTCATAAAATCGGGAGAATTGCGCTACTGTATATTTTGTGGCCAAAATCAGCTGTCACTATGAACCATTCACAATAGCTGAAGCCATTTTTTGGAAACGGACCGAACTAATTTTGTACTCTCAATTTATTGGGATACTATTTTAGTACTCCCCATTTTGAACTAAATTTGTACTCCCAATATCAGTGTTGCTGCAAAGTCGCGTTTTCGCGTATGCGCACTGTACAGCCAATTAGATTCCCGTAAAAGCTGTGTTCTCGCGCATGCGCCTTTAAATGTAGCATTACTGCCGTACTAACTCCGACATTATTAAGGTTCTGTAAAGA